GAAACCTAGAGTTTTTAAATTATATTTATTGCTGTCCTACCAGTTGAGCTCTGGTTCCATTTATTTTTATATACATAGATACACAAACATGAATGATAATTAATAGATTATACTTAGCAATTTATTATTTCTGTTGTTCATTTTCCCTTTTTTTTCTTCAAATCCAGCCTTCTCCTTGGTTTGTTTGTCTTTAGTGACCTTTGTTTAATATTGTAGCATGTATCTGAAGATAGATTTCCTGCTTTTGTCTATTGAAAAATTAATTTGTTTCACTTTCATTTTAAACTATTTTAATTTTGACTGTATATTTGAGTATGTTTCTTTTTAGTTATATTGTTTGGGATTTGTTTAGTTTATTGTATCCAGGGTTTTATGTCTTTCATCAATTTTTGGAAAATTTTCAGCTTTCATCTCTTCCTATATTTTTTGCTGCCCCATTTTTTCCCATCTCCTTTCATTCTGAGATTTCTAGTTACATGTATATTGTTTAATGTTTTCTGATAATTTTCCAGAATTAATTTTTCCTTTTTTAAATATTTTTTTGTTTCAATTTGAAAAATTGGGGTGCCTACCTTCAGGTTTCCTGACTCTATATTACTACCATTTTTTTCTATTCTTTGAATATGTTTCATCTCGCATAATTTTTGTTTACCTGTCTTTATCTCCATTGATCGTTTCTTCTCTTGTGTCTAGTCTACCGTTAAGCCTATTGAGTGAATTCTTCATGAGCTAATGCATAGTTGTATTCAATTTTTAAATAGCTTTATAAGGTAAATTCCATTCTGTATTGTTGGATGGTACGAGTAGTAGAAGGGGATGTGTCCAAAGTTAATGTAATAATTACTATGTGGTAGCATCAGATGTGCATATTTTAAATCTTTTCTCTTTGTATTTCTAGTAGTTACGTGTTACTGTTAAGATTTTGAAAATAGCATTGTGTGTACCAAAAGAGAAATGATAATCTATTTTGATGCAGATTTTGCTTCCATGTAGAAATAAAGTTTAGGAGATTTATGATTAAAGTTTAGGGAAGATGCAGGATCTGATCTCTTCTTACTTTTGCTCTTTAAGATTGTGAACTTTTTGTATACATATATTGGACTTCTAAAAAGTAGGACCTAAGGAATAATCTTATGTTTTGCATATTGCTGTTTTTAGGGAGTATAATCTTAGGTAATCTCCAAAGCTGGATTGAGAGAAAGGGTAATGAGATAGGGAATTTGGGAAAGGCAAGTTATTATTAACTGATATATACTGATGAATTTTAAATGCCTTTTGAAGGGTTGTATAAATTACTGTAAATCAGAACATTACATCCTGGAAGAAGAAAGAGAATTTAATTTTCAAATTATTTTCTTATTGGTTAAGGTATGAGTTTAAATGCATGGCATTAGCTCCTCACATTTCTGGATTGTACATGTTTGGGAACTAGGTAGATCTTTTGATGTCTCAGCGACTCATGGAATTCCTGGGGTGGAAAGTGAGAGATAAGGAGTATGAAAGGAGACACAGTTGTGCTGTGGAGTTAGTTGACAGTGTCTGTGGTATGCTGTAAAACTAGTGGTGGTAGTTTTCATTTAGGAGCCATTATTTAATGTTGAAATATAGTATAGATGTTTTCATGAATTTTCAGCATTTTTACCTGTTGTAGAGAACACTTTTGAAATATACGTAGATCAAATCAAGAAGTATATTAGAGTGATGTGTAGTTTGATTATTGACTGATCTGTCAAGTCTAGTTTTATGAGCTATATTGAAAAGACAATGTAGTTCATGTACTTCATCTAGATAAAGACATCTATCTCTACATCATCTAAATATCTTAATTTTTGAACAAATCAATTTTGACAGTTTTTAAATAAGATGAAATTTAGGTAGCTTATTTTTTAAATTAGTGCTAACATTTTGTGATACTTTGCAAAATATGCTATTATTAAAAATACACACTAGAAAAAATATATGTTTAAAACATTAAGTATATTTAAATGTCTTTTGAACTCATTGTCCTTCAATCTAATGTGTTTTGGCTTTTTGTTCATTAGATAGTGCCTTTTCCCATGTCTAATATTTTTTTTACTCAATAAGAAAGATCTAGACTATGATTTGATCAAGTTTTAAAAATTCCTCTACCTGCTTTCAAATGGGTATTAGTGATAGTGTTGTGGGAAAATGAAAACTCTCAGTCCTTGCTGCTAATTAATTAGAATGCTAATAGTAATATCTGCCATTGATGTTGTAGTTTCCCCCTGAGACAAAAATACATGATACCTGTGATTTAAAGGAGGAAAGGTTTTATTTTGGCTCATTGTTTCAGTGTAATTAGGCCATGGTTGACTGGCTCCAAGGTAAAAATGGAGTGATAGACTGACATGGCAGAGAAAAGCTATTCATGTTGTGGTAACCAGGAAGTAGAGAGTAAGGGAAGAGCTGGGGCAAAGACTCCTCCTTTCAGGTCACATCTCAATGATCCGCTCCAGTCAGGCCCTGCCTCTTAGTAGACTTTATCCATTGAACTCACCAATGAAGAAAAGCGCATCCTCATGATTCAGTTACCATTCTAAAAACCTCACCTCTCAGTACACTAGATTTTTGGAGGACATTTTAGGCCTAAATCATAAAAGGAGTACCTCTATACCTCATAGGAGCCTAAAGAAAATTAAATTATGCATGCCAAAGTATTAGAGAGTCTATTCTCTAAGGCACAGACTGTGCTGTACTAAGTGCTATATACCCAGTGTATCAAATAGTACATTATTAGATAGTAGGCATTCTATAAATATTTGTTGAATCGACTTCATTATATCAATGGGTTTTCACCTAGTTTTTGTGACACTTACTGTTTTTAATTCCTTGAATATTAGTGTGAAAATTTCCCAAAATAGGAAAATAAAATTTTCATTAGTTAAAGTTTAATCTGTACCGTGTGTGTGTGTGTGTGTGTGTGTGTGTGTGTGTGTGTAATGTCTATAGTATGTGGAATTATAGTGGGAGAGATAGTATGAAATTACATATTAAATAACTTATAATTCTGAAATTGTACATGTATTTAAGAAAATGTGATGGATATAATAATATCCTTGATCCTGCAATTTGTGTATTGTATGTAGTTTTTTTGCTTATTAAATAAAAATAAATGTTGATTTTAACTATTATTACATTGATCACAGTGCTGGGAGTGAATACAGGGCCTTTCAAATGTTAGGAAAACACTGTATTAATGAGCTACATCCCAGCCACTGTGAATCTTTTCCTTGTAGGAGGCTTGACGGATGATTTATTTAAATTATAAAATTTATATAGTAAGAACTTGTTATAGAGTTTTCTTTTTCACTTTTCACAGGTATTATTCTGCCCTAAAAACTATGGAACAATTAGAAAAGGTGTATTTTCCCCGGGTTAGTCAATACCGGTTCTGTCAGTTAATGATAGAAAATCTTCCTAAACTCCGTGAGAATATTAAAGAAATCTCCATGTCTGATCTCAAAGACTTTTTGGAAAGCATTCGAAAACATTCTGACAAAATAGGTGAAACAGCAATGAAACAGGTGAGATAAAAAAGAATTTGAATTTAGTGCTGTTTAGTAATCTAGGATATAAAAGTCAAAGGTTTATTTTGAAGTGCTTATTTTAGCTTTACCCTTTTTTTTTTTACCTTTACCTTTTTTTCTTTTTTAAACCTTTCCTAGTTGTTGTTTGGAATGGATTTTGCCCATTTACTGGATTTACTGTTACTCCTAATTTAAATAAATTCCATCTAATTTGAATTCTTCACTTACTCACCAACTGACCTCTTACAATCTTTTCTGCCCATGTGGTGCTACATTAACTTTTCCTAACAGTCAGTCTATTACAAAATTAGCTAAAAAGTGATAGCCACAGACGCAAGAGAAATTCATAGTATCAACTTTGAATTAAAAACTAAAATTCAATAACAAAAGGAAAAAAATATTCAGAAGTTTTAAAGTTAATATTATTTTTGAGCCTTCAGTTCCACTTCTGTTTATCAGATAGAAATGATGTTCTTAAACTGTTGTTCACAATTAGCAAAAAAACTGGAAACAACCCAAGTAGCTATCAGAAGGAGAATAGAACACCACTTGTGGTGTACTCATGCAGTGGACTACTACTTAGCAGTAAAAAGGAATGGATTAATGAGAATGCAGCTACACATAGATCTCACAGATATGTTAAGCCACCGAAGTTGAACTACAACAAAGGTACAGACTGAGTGATTATGTTTAAATGTAGTTTTGAATCAGGCAAAACAGGATTTAAAAAAAAAATCAGCACAATGATAGGCAGCCAGAGGCTTAGATAGGGAAATTGCTAAGGAGAGGAAATAAGGGAAAATGGAAATGTTCTATACCATGATAAAAGTGTACATGTCAAAACTGTACAACTATTTTATATTTCAGTATATATAAATCTTAATCCAAGGAAAACAGTAAAAAAATTGAATAGGTGAATGTGTAGATGAAATAAGAACATAAAAATATTTCTTAAAGATAATTGATCAGTAACTGGTAGTTCATTGTATTAATCTATTTACTTTGTTTATATTTGTAATTTTCAATGATGAAAAGTTTAAAAATGAATATAATTAAAATTTTTATGAATTAGCTGTTAAAACTCCTAGTAAATTTATCATAGAAATAAAACAATTCTCAACATGATTTCTAATGCCTGATATTTCCCCATCTACTATTACACAGTACCTAAAGACGATTTCACTATATTTTTCTAATAAAAGAAGTTGATGTATAATAGACCATGGTTAAATTAGAGGAAATTAAAATTCAGTACGAACTCTCCACCCTAATCTTTTAAAGAATTATCTATAAATCAGATAACCTCCATTATATTTCTCATTGTTTCAGCTTTACACAGTAGTATACTCTGTGCTGTTTTTCAAGATAAAACTCAAATAAGAAAATTAACTGTTTTAAAGTGAATATTTCAGTTGTAGCTAGTGCAGGTATGCAACCATCATTTCTGTCTAGTTTTGAAACACTTTTCATCATCCCAAAGGAAATTCCATAACTTAAAGAGCTATTCCTCCTAACCTCTGGCCACCACTAATGTGTTTTGTCTGTGTGGCTATACCTATTTTGACAATTTCATTTATATGGAACAATATAATGTGTGATCTTTTGTGCCTGGCCACTCTATATTGATTTACTTTAATAGACTGTTTACTTTGAGGATGTATTGATTTTGAGAATTCTTTACTAGGATCAGTTTACTTTCTTATGGAATTATTCTTGGGCATTGATAAGTTTGGTCTTGCAAGTGAGATTTTGTTTTCAGCATTTTAAAACAATTTACAGTAATGTTTTTTATCTTTTCTTTTTGATCCAGGGTTTCATTATGCAGTTCAGACTGGCCTTGAACTATATATCCCAGGCTAGTATCACCTACCTCAGCTTCCTGAGTGCTAGGATTATAGGAGTGTACCATAAGACCTGACCAATAATGTTCTTAATTTTTTTTACTTTTTAAAGAATACAACACAGTGAAAGAAAACAAAAACAAACAAAAACCCAGCATTAGAAATGATAAAAAATTTCATTAAACTAAGTAATAGGAATTTAACAATTGTTGCTATATGATGTTATCTTCAAATTAGTTGTTCAGGTTACCAGATATAAAGATTTGTTTAAAGAAGAAACAAAACAGTAACAAAAACATTGTAAGAAATTCAAAAGAAGAAATAAAAAGAAAAAAAAATTTAAGGATTAACTGCTTCTTTCAAAAGACCAGCAGTACAATTATCCAGACCATCCTGCATATATATCTAAATATGTCTTTTTCCCTTCTTTTATTTGTTCTTTTCCTCATCCTATATTTTCCTTAACATTGAACAAGTTCTTTTCCTTTCATAGTATCTATTGTACTTTTTAGATTTTCTTCACTCTTTCAGGTTTTCATAGTAGTGAGATAATATGATGTTTGTACATGTGGTTTTGATTTATTTGATTTATTTCACTTACCAATATAATCTCTAGCTGCATCCTTTTTATCTACAAAAGCCTCAAATTTATCTTTTTTATAGTTGAATAATACTCCATTGTGTAATAATACCTTATCTTTCCAATAATGTTTTTAAGTTGTTTAATTTTTTCAGCCATAGTTAACTCTTGCTTTTCTGTAGGTGGGCTGTAGAAGATGGAATTTTCAAAATATTTTTAATAGTATGTATTGTTAAGCCTAGTGTTAAATCCTTGATTGACAAAGAAAGTATTATTTGGTGTAAATGGAAAGAAGCTACATAAGAACTTGAGTCAAACTTACAATCTCTTTTCTATGGAAATCAGGCCTGAGATCATTTTCCTTATTATTATAATGTTGAGAATATGGTTATATATTATATACTTCTGTCCTAAGTGTAGGAACAGAAATGGCAGGCTAGTGAGGGAGAGTTCTAACATCAGATTAGTAGGCTGGAACTAATCAAGTAGTACAGACTAAGAAGATGTAGGAGAGTAAGATTTAAAGGCACAGTTCAAGAAGACAATCCAGAGATTCTAAATCTAGAAACTAATTATCTAGAAAACTTGTGGGTTAGGAAAGCACCATGTTTAAAGGAAAATTTGTAGCCTTAAATTGACAAAGTAAGAAATGTTTAAATGATCGAGTAGTCATTTCAAGACATTAGAGAAACTAAAAAATAAATTCAGTGGAAAAGGAGATAATTAAAATAAGAACAGAGATCAACATAATAGAAGTAAAATACAATAGGTAGATAAATAAAATACAGGGAGACGAATAAAATGAAAAGTTGGTTCTTTATCTTTTCAAATAAAATTCATGCTGGGTGTGGTGGTGCTTGCCTGTAGTCCCAGCACTTGGGAGGCTGTGGTAGGAGGATTGCCATGAGTTCAAGGCCAGCCTGAGCTACATGTGTGTTCAGGACCAGCTTGAACTATATAGCAAGACCCTGTCTCAAAAAATAAAGAGGAAACAAAATATTATTGATAATTACCTGAAAGACTGTTTGGAAAGGAAGAAGGCATAACCATGAGTTGAAAAGATGATGTTGCTATACATCCTGCATCTAGATTAAAAATAGAAATTATTATGAACATGTTTTGAAACCAGTTTTGGCCAGAATAAATTTTGAAATATTCTGAATTTTGCTTCCTCCAAAATAGGCACAGCAGCAGAAAACCTTCAGTGTTGCTCTTCAGAAGCAAAATAATGTGAAATTTGGGAAGAATATGTATATAAATCATGATAGAGTTCAAGAAGAAAAAAAAGAAATTGTATTGAAACATGCCTTTGATGAAGAAGATGAGAATGAAGAGGAGGTAATGGTATTTCTTTCTTTTGGATTGTAATGTGTATCACTGTGACTCCTAGTCTTGCCATGTGAAAACTGGATTTATGTCAGTCAGAGTAAATGCACCATGGAGTTATTCCAATTGTTAAGTCTTAAAAACTTTAGAAACCTTGAAATTTATCTTTAAATATTAACTTTCTATCGTTATATCCAAATTAATTCTCTTATCCTATTGCTTTCATAAACTTTTTATTTATTTTTTTAATGTATTTAGTACAGGGTATGCAGGGTCTTACTACACAGATTGGACTTATAGTGATCCTCCTGTTTTTCAGCCTCCCATATGCTGAAATTACAGGTGTGCACCACCACCCCAGTTTCACTTGCCATCTCAGTGCGCCCTGGAGGTGGGGCTGGCAGGGCAGGCCAGATAATCAACCCCAGACCCCTGCATCTGCCTAAGCAGGCACTTTAATCTGCTGAGCTATCTAGCCTGTCCTTCCTACTGCTTTTTAAAAAAATGTTTAAAAAAATCTTTATTTATTTGGTACGGGGTGTCCCTACACTGTTTCAGCCTCTCTAGCGCTGCGATTTTAGGCTGCACCACCAAGCCTGGTTTCGGTGGCTGTCTTAGCGCAGGGCCAGCAGGGCATGTGGTACCAGGGATCAAACCCACATCCTTGCACTTGCCAAGCAGGTGCTTAGACCACTGCACTATCTTGCTAGCCTCCTTTTGCTTTTTAAATTCTCTCTATAGTTTTCTGTTGAGATTATCTTTTATCTTCCTTGAATTCTTTGTGAGGTTAGTTAATGTCATAGCCTATCTATTCCTGGTGATTAATAAGTTCGATCTTGTCAGTGAGATTTTATTTTCATAAAAAAAAAAAAAAAAAATTCTTAGGGCTGGCGAGATAGCTCAGCAGACTAAATGCCTACTTAGGCAAGCACAGGGGATCTATCCATGCTATTGCATGTGGCTCTGGCCCCGCCCCCTGAGAGCCAGCAGGCATGCTGGTGTAGGCCTGTAATCCCAGCACTGGGGAGGCTGAAAACAGGAGAATCACTGAGTCTGAGCTACAAAGTGAAACCCTATACCAAATACATAAATTTTAAAAAAAGTTCTTAGTAGTACATGTTAAAAAAAATTTTTTAAGGACCTTATTGGGGAACAGTAACAATTTATAATTAAGCTGTTTGAATAAGTGCTTATATGGTTACCTGTATGGATGAAAAAATAACTAAATATCATTTCTGCTGTATGTCTGAAGATGAGATTGAACATGTATGTATATATATGTATATTAATGTATGTGTTCATATAATATATAGATAGATAGCTGTCACTTTCCTGAATATAGATTAATGAACACCCTAAGACAGTTTAATTTCTTTCTTTAGAGACAGGGTTTTGCTATGTAGTTTGCTTGAACTCACTGTATAGCACAGGCTGGGCTTTTGAACTCATAGGGATCCTCTTACCTCACCCTCCTGAGTACTAGAATTATAGGTGTGCACCACCATTACTAGCTAGTTAAGTGAATTTTTAATGTGGAATTAGTGTCTTGATCAGTCCCTTGAAATTAGTGAGTTTTAAATCTATGTTTTTGTTTATAATCAGAATTTCTGTGATCTCTTCTGAGATAGCTATACATGGTAGAAATAGATGATCTAGTCTTACCTAAATTTTCCTCAGTCTGTTTTATTTAATTGGTAAGAGTATTGCTATTATGCCTTAATGTCAAGTCCATGTTCTTAGAATAACTCAGTTTTTTTCCTGGATTTCTTTTACTTATTATTACATTTTGTTTCTGTCATTTTTCCTAATAAAAATGACTTAGGTCCACTCTGAGGATCAATAAAAATAGAAGTATGTTTTTAAAGAAAGTTTATATATTTTTAAAACATCGTAGCATTGACTATGTTTTAAATATTCTAAGCTGTATTATTTTTTCACTTTTTAACAAAGCAGAAATATACATATTAAAACTGATGATGTCATAGTTTCAGGTAGCTGTGGTTTTTTTTCTTTCTTTGTGTTCTAAATAATAGTGATAGCATCTTTAACTTCAAGCAGTAGTCGTGAATCATATGCATGTATGGAGAAAGACCTTGCTTTTACCCTATCTATTCCTGCATCATTTTCACAAGATTAATAATAAAGTGTCTATCTGTAGCAGTTGTCTAGTAGTCTGCCAAGCAAAGTAAAGATAAATTTATCATCTAAAATGTCCTCAATGATGGGCTGGTGAGATGGCTCAGTGGTCTAAAGCACCTACTTAGAACAAGTAAAGCACAGGGACCACGGTTCAATCCCCCAGCACCACATGCCAACCAGCCCCGCCCCCTGGTGGGCTGAGCTGGCCACACACACATACACACAAAAATAAATAAATAAAATTAAGAAAAAATTAATTTCCTTATTAAAAAAAATAATAAAAAAAAAATAAAATGTCCTCAATGATGATGAACATATAAAGAAAAAATTGCCAAAATGAAATAAAATAGGTGTATTTATATTATTCATTTTCTGTGGTAAGATTTACTAAATATGATATTACATCTGCCCATCTCGTTTATATTTTAACTTTATGTTATCCAATAGGAGACTAATAGTTTGATGTATAATTTTTTTTAAATGGCTTTATTTTTCAGGTCTTAAATGTTCAGGATCTTGTTGATTTTTCTCCTGTTTACCGATGTTTGCATATTTATTCTGTTTTGGTAAGTGTATTTTATATTTGTGTATATATTTATTCGGAGGCATATATGCATCTTAAGCCTTAAAAGATGACCAAAGTCCAAATAGCTCTAAATCTTCATACAATAAAGATTTGTGAAATAGTTATGTAAAGAACTTACTCTTTTAACTTAATCATGGTCTAATTTCAGGTAATACATCACTTCGTGTGTATTATATAGACCTTATAATAGTATCTACTCATGTATACCTAACAATATTTTGATTAATAGGAGATTGTGAATACAGCAGTGGTCCCAAGAGATTATAGTGGAGCTGAAACTTTTCTATTGCCTGGTACACTATAGCCATCATAGTGTCTTCAATTTATGGTTAGTACTGTGTAAACAAACCCGCTGAGCTGCCAGTCATTATAAAATATAGAATGTACAATTATATATAAAATACATAATATGACAATTAATAGCTGTTACAGCCTTATGTATTTACTGTACTTCCTATTGTTATTTTAGTGTGTAGTCCTTATACTTAAATAAAAAGTTAACCGTAAAATAGCCTCAGGTAGGTCCTTTGTGAGACATCTCATGAGAAGTCATTGTTGTTGCAGGAGATGATAGTCTCATGAGGACCTTCCAGTGATAAAAGATAGGGAAGAGGATGTTGGTGATACTGATGATTTGGATTGTGTAGGCCTACCCTAATGTGTATGTAGTCTTAGTTTTTAAGAAAAAGTTTAAAAAGTTAAATTAAAAATAGACTATAGCATACATGGGCTGGCCATTTGAAAAACATAAAACAACATTAATATTTATTGGGCTAGGTATGATGATGCATGCTTGTAATCCTAGCACTTGGGAGGATGAGGTAGGAGAATCACTGTGAGTTTGAGGCCAGCCTAGGGCTACATATAAATAAGCAAGTTCAGTGCCAGCCTGCACTACATAGTGAGACCCTGCCTTAAAAAAAAAAAAAAAGCTTCTAGATTGTATTTCAACCCAAAAGAATGGCTGTTGTCTTGGTTTCTTTTCTTTGGTTGCTGGGACAAAATACCGGACACCCAAAATTAAGGAAGGAAAGATTTGTAATTAATCTTAAACCCTCTACATACAAAATAATAGAAAAATGAAAAAAACAAAGCAACAAGATGTGTCTGAAAATTCTTACCTCCTCAAAGTATATTCCTGGGCATTGAGGTCAAGAAAGTAAAAAAAAAAAAAAAAAACTACGATAAAAATGTTTGAAGGGATGAAAGAAACAAAATAGATTCATACAATGTTCAGTAGGCTCAAAGACAGTGTAACTGACTTAATTGATAAAACGATCAGCAAGCTTAAAGACACACTTGCAACAGTTGAATAAATTAAGATAATATAAGGTATGAATGGCCATTTCATCTTTTAAAATTCTTTTATTATGTATTTGATACAGGGTCTCACTACACAGCTTGGACTCATAGTGATCCTCCTGTTTTCAGCCTCCCTAGTGCTGGGATTACAGGCATGTGCCACCGCACCTGGGCATAGTGCCTGGCTCAGCCTGGGAGCAGGTGCGGCATGGCATGTGGTGCTGGGGCCTGAACCCCGGTCCCTGTGCTTGCCTAAGCAGGAGCTTAGTCTGCTGAGCTATCTCACCGGCCATGAATGACCATTTTAGTAAAAAGAAATTGGATACCATGAAAAGTTATCAAGACAGGAATATAAAGAATTGTGCATTTGCTTGACAAGTGCAAGAACCTGTGCTTGATCCCCAGTACCACATTCTGTGCCAGCCCCAGAATCCTGGGCACTCCATGCTGGCCACCAAAACCAGGTGTGGTGGCACACACTTGTAATCCCAGCGCTGGGGAGGCTGAGACAGGAGGATCACTTTGAGTCTGAGCTGTGTAACGAGACCTTGTACTAAATTAAATAAATAAATAAATAAATAAATAAATAATTTTTAAAAAGAATCACTATATATGTATGACAGAAATGGCCAATGTGAGAAAAGAGTTTCAGAATAGAAGAAGAGGTTGATGCAGGAGATCAGATATTCAAAGATAACCTTAAATATAACAAGAGACCATGAAAACTGGAACCAACAGCTGCTGGGTGATTTTAAAATATCTGAGAATTACAGGCACTGTTAAGAGATCAGAGGACAGCACAAAAAATATAAAAATTTCTTTAATGAAGTTATCGCAGAAAATAACAAGTGCCAATGAAGCTGTGGCAAAAAAGGAAATCTTCTTTATTGTTGGTGGGAGTGTAACATGGTACGACTATGGAAATTAATATGAAGATTCTTCAAAAAACTAAAAGTAGAAATTTAATTTGACTCAGCTATTCCCTTTTTGGATATCTTCCCTTAAAGAGTTAAAATTATCATATTACAGTGATGTATGTATATGTATGTTTATAGCAGCACAGGTCGTAATAGCTAAAATTTGGAATCAGTTTATATGCCCAGTAGTAGATGAATGGATAAAGAAAGTGTGGTACTAAACACAATGGAGTACTCTTGTCATTAAGAGAGATGAACGTGAGGTATTTGTAGGAACACATATGCAGTTTGAGGTACAATGTTAAATGAAGTAAATCAGGCATATAAGTTTGTGCATTGTATAGTTTCCCTTATAAGAATAATGTAATGGGAAAGAGCGAGAAAAGAATAGGCCAACGATATAGCTCAGTGGCATAAGTGCGTGTCTGGCAAGTGCAAGATCCTGAGTTCAATGCTTGGTACTGGAAGGAAGAAAAGAAGGAAGGAAGGAAAGTAAAGAAAAGAAAAGAAAGTCAGTCAAATAGAAATTCCATTACCTAAATAGTAGAAATTCCTAAGTATGTTTCTGTTGTTGGTGTTAGTTTTCACCCTAATGTGGCCTGAGAGCTCATTTTGTAGGATGTATATTTCTTTGGATATGTTAAGCTCTTTACTGTTGTTGTGAGCATGGTATATTTTAAAAGGAAATAAAAAAATTCCCAGAATAGAAAAATTTATGAAGATAAGAGGGTAGCTCAGTGGTTACTTAGATTTAGGAGGCAGGATTGGGAGATGAGGACTAGTAGATAGAGTGTTTTGATTTGGGATGGCAAAAATGATCTAAATTCGTTTATGGTTGTGGTCGTACAATTCTGTCAATGTGATAGGATCTGTTGAATCTAACATTTTAAGTTTATAAATATGTAGTATAGAGATTTGTGATTTAATAATGTTTAATGCCACAATTTTTTTTAAATGAAAAGATTTTAAAATTAAAAAGGCAGGCTGGCCAAATAGCTCAGCAGATTAAAGCACCTGCAAGCAGGCGCAGGGGCCCGGAGTTCAATCCCAGGGCTTGCTGTGCTGGTCCCGACCCCAATCCCAAGGTGCGCTAAGCCAGCCATTGAGACTGGGTGTGGTGGCACATGCCTGTAATCCCAGCTTTTGGGAGGCTGTAAACAGGCAAATCACTATGAGTCTGATCTAGTAGTGAGACTCTGAACACCCTGTAGACCCTTCCTTAAATAAACAAATAAAATTAAAAAGGCTATATTATACATGGAATAATCAAAATTTATGGCAAATATTTGTAGTTAATATATTATAATAAAAGACACATTGCCACCCCCTAAAAATACCCTTTTTGCTTTGAACATACTTACCCTATCATTCTTGTCACTTGCTGAAGCAGTTCTAGAAGTCCTCTTTTGTGTCTTTAGAAGATGTGATCAAAGTTATAGTGAATGCGGAGTGCCATCCAGTAGAAAGGCAGACTGATAAAAATATTGCATTGTATCCATTTCTGCCTTATTCACCAGCTCTGGCATCATATGACTTCTAGCTCTTCGCCAAAGTAAGAATGACCATGAGGGTAAGTGTGTTGAATCAAGTTGGGACATCAAGGTAGCCATGACAGTACAAATGAAGACAAATAGCAAGAATGATGATCTGTGTTCAAAGTGAGGGGAAGAATTTTGAGGGGGATTGCTAGTTTTTTACCACAATAAAATTAACAAAATTTGAGCATTCACTATAGGTTTTGATCATACTATCAATATCCTATGTACAATAGTAGGCTGGACTGGGGAGATGGCTCAGTGGAATAAGTGCTTCCCTGGCAAGTGCAAGGGCCTGAGTTCAATCCCCAGTTCTGCCAAAAAAAAAAGTAGGCTGTATAGTTTTGGTTTGTGTAAGGGCCAGGGAGATGGCTCAGTGGAATAAGCACTTGCCTGGCAAGCACAAGGGCCTGAGTTCAATCCCTGTTCCCGCCAAAAAAAAATTTAGGTTTGTGTAAGTACAGTTTATAATGGTGACATTTGCACAGTAACAAGTTCAGTGCATTTCTCAGAACAGGTCCATGTCATTGACACATGACTGACTTGCACTTCTTTATTTTTCCTTAAATTTGCACTGACATTATATCTCTATTATTTATAAATGTTATTTATATATATGGTTCCATCATACTTTTTTTAATTTTTCTTTTAGGGTTAGGGTCTACAGGGTGTTCAGGGTCTCACTACTAGATAGAGTTTTCACTACTAGATTGGATTCGTAGTGATCCGCCTGTTTATAGCCTCCCAAGAGCTGGGATTACAGGCGCGTGCCACCATGCCCAATCTCAATGGTTGTCTCAGCATGCCCTGGGGGCAGGGCTGGCACCACAGGCCTGGTGATTGGACCCCAGCCCCCTGTGCCTGCTTGCAAGGGCTTTAATTCGCTGAGCTATTTGGCCGCCCCTACCACCATGCTTATTTTTGATTAGCCAATTATCCAAGTTTAAAATAACTTTTATTAAGATAGATTTCACTTACTGATATATTTGCCCCTTTAAAGTATATAATCTAGAGGATCCATCAATGCCAAGTACAAACAGATGCATGAGGGAACCTTGGAGGATGTGCACTGGAAGGCTCATTGTACACACATACATGCACACACATTTATTTTACTCCATATATGTAAGGAGAATAAGAATTAACCAGTACTTTAAATAGTGTATGTCATGAAGAAGTCAGGCTAATCCTTAGCAGAAGTTATGTATAGAGAAACACACATAAGC